GAACATTAGCATTCACAGTCGACGAAAAACTCCCGGAGGCGCTTGCTACCTTGAACATTTGAAGTTTAAAACGTCAGTTATACTTACATAAACAATGATTCAGCATTTTATAGTCCTGAATACAAGATGATATTTGAAATGATACATGTCCAAGACTTCCCGATGTCGATATAGACAATGTAGACATGACGTCCAATCGATATCGATAAAGTTAAACACTCATGACATAGTCAGATGTAGCTTTTGATGGCGACACAATTAACAAAACCTGATGTGGTTATCGTCAATATTGACAAGTTATTGATGATAACTCAAGATAATAACATAGTGTCGTCGGTTGCTGTCTGTCATATTTGATTTTTTCATTTATCATTTATACATGAATCAGAATGTTTTTTTTTCATTTGAAATACTTGTAATTGACATTTTGTCATGCCGGTATTACATGTATTAGTGTTGCTTGTTGTTGAAGACTGTACGGTTACATATATAGTTGTTTAATTCCTCATCCTTTTCGTGTCTAGTGGTTGGTTGTTTAATTTAAAATCGTACAACATCTCCTTATCGTAACATTTAATTACGGCACACAAACTAAACTAAAAAAAAAAAGGGAATAGAGAAAAAATCATGAGGAATATATTCAAATTTTGAACGCAATTGATATTGTCAACATCGTCGATATCGACAGCTAAAACTGACGAACCAGGAAAAAAGTGAGTTGTCGATATAGATAAATGTATAGCAGATAGACATTTGAAATATAGTTTGTCGATAACGACTCGATGTTATCGATATCGTCGATATCGACAACTGTATCAGATGAATATAGTGTAAACTCATTGAAAGATCATCGAGTCAAATCAGTGAGAAAACTTTTAAAAGTCTCATTGGAAATTATAAAACTTATTTTTACATTGTTAAATTGAAGAATTGAATGAAAAACATAAACTAAACTATATGAAATAAAAACAAAACATCATGAAGTTGAAATGTCGAATTGGAATCAATATGATATATTGCATCGATAGCTGAAACAGATACACCAGGAGAAAATTAATTGTCTTTGTGGACAACTGTATCATATAAACATTTTGAACATACACATAAGGCGAAGAAAACTCTTGCTTTAAATGTATCTAAAGTAAACAAAATTAGAGTAAATCAATGCAATGGAAATTTCAATTGTCGATATCGATTTGATATCGACAACATAAACACGGATGATTTAGGTGAAGAGAAAAAAAGGAAAATAAAAGAAAAAAAGGTCCAAGCTCCAAGTGCCTGTGTCAATTCAAAACAACATTAAATACTCGGATTAATTGATTTTGATTTGCTGGTCCCAAGTCAATCGTTTCCAGAAGTTGCTACAAAACAAATGCATTCAGTTTTTCAAACTTTTCTCAAAAATAACATACTAGAATAAGAATAAGAATAAGAATATTTTATTTCCAATTAAAGGGCCCTATAAAGAGCTTTCATCACATTACATACAAGTACATAAGATTAGACATAAATTAGAGACATATAAGAAAACAACATCGTTTAATACTATTAAAAAATGCTATAAAAGGCCAGGACAGAACCAGATAATACAATTCACATCATTGAAATATACCATTCAAAATCATATACTACTCGAAATATGTGTATTTGTGGCTAATTTGCATTTATTATCTTTGAACTTCTCCTTCTCTCAAGATTTTTAGATAAATACTTTCCCAAACATTTATACATATTTAAATTTTCTTGTGTAAATAGCCATGAAAACTTTGAAAAATTGTCTAAAGATTGAAAATTATTACAAGTTAGAGAAATTTCAGTAAAAAAACTCATTTCTGTTATCAACATATAGTGGACATTCAGTCACAAAGTGTATCTCATCTTCAACTTTATTTAATGTACAGTATAAACATTTCTAAGTGTTCTATTCACATAAATTTTGGCATATCTATCAGTCTCAATCCTTAATGGATGAGCGCTTATTCTAATCTTACAGATTGATTGCCTAGATTAAGATTTTTTAAGAGAGAAGATACCCAATATTAATAACCCAATATATAAAAAGGATGAAAACTTTCCGTTTCATAAAATTCAAGGATTTGTATAGTATCCTTAATAAAAATCAGAAGTTAAGTCACGGAATACGTGCAGGAATCCGAATCCGACTTATTTTAGTCAATGCTCTGAAGCTTCCGGTAAGTTGGAAACTTTTTTTTTTTTATAAAAAATATTTCAAAGCAGGTGAATTATAAAGTTTTAGGTAACTTGAATTAGTCCCAAACACCGGAAAAAAAGACCACTCTGCACAATAGTAAGTTAGAGGTCAAAAGTGTTTCCCCATTTGAAAATTCATCTATTTTAAGGTTCATGTGGACCCTTTGGCTAAAATGGCTGCATTTTTACCTCAAAATTTACTCTGAGGACAGACAAACCTGCGCATCTGGAAAAGTTTTAAGGCATAGCATGCCCTAGATAAATAAACTTCTAATGCATTGTATGTTTTAGAAAATTTAAAACTTAACTGGATTTAGCAGTGCACTTTTTTTCGTCCCTGCAGAAGATGATAAAATTAACAAACAGTTGAGTTTCACTTGATATGGTCCACTCAGGTACACAGTTTAAATCACCAATTATTGTCAGGTATCTATTGTCCATCTATTGTCCATGTCAATCAAAACAGTTCACTTCAATTATTACCTGCGGGGAAGTTCTCAAACCTCTTTCCCAACTTTATTTTGGCACCTCCTGCATGTCCTGGTGGAATGAAAAAAAGTGCACTGCAAAATCCAGTTAAGTTTTTAATTTTCTAAAACATAAAATATATTTGAATTTTATTTATCTAGGGCATGCTATGCCTTAAAACTTTTCCAGATGCACAGGTTTGTCTGTACTCAGAGTAAATTTTGAGGTGAAAATGCAGCCATTTTAGACGAAGGGTCCACATGAACCTTAAACAAATTTCTCCTTTATACATGTAACTTATTTTCTTGTCCTGTTGTCCGAATTGAATGGAATTTTCCCCTTTGAATACAGAAATGTCGGCAGTTTCTTACGAAAATTATGAATTATTTAAGGAAATCACTGTTTATATACAAATATGAATTTTTGCACACGAAAAAATTATGTCTGTACATTTTGTATACATATAGGAAATGACACATACATTGTACAAATGTACGTGACATAATTTTGTATAAAATAATGATTTCTCAGTTATGCCATTTCATAAAAATATTTCTCAATGACCATGAAATTATATAAACATTAATGAGTTTAACATTTGAAAATACCAGACATGAAATAAGTTTTAGACAATATTTAAAAAAAAGTTTTTATGAAATATATATGTATCATGTATATATATAGGGGAATAACCAAATTGTCAAAAAAATATGATTGATTTTGATTTTTGGTGTTTTAACGCTACTTTTAAGTACCGCTTTTGGGCTATTTCGTGGCAGCCAGTTTTTATTGGTGGAGGAAGCTGGAGTGCCTGGAGAAAACCACCGACCTTCGATAGGAAAACTGACAATCCTAGTCAGTTAAGATTGGAGTCGAGTGCACCTGCATGAGCGGGGTTCGAACTCACAACCTCAGTGTTGACTGGCTAGTGATTACAGTCAAAAAACTGTACAAACTAGACAAACTGTAGTTGTTCACCAGTTCATATAAACTTTAATTACAGTTTAAATTAAACCGTCTTACTTAATTTTAACGAGAAGATAAATTTAGCGTAAAAATATACAATTTTGAATTCAAATATAGAAAACATGTATTAGTCAATACGCCAGTTTCGAGATAGTTGAATCTGTCATGTGACTTCCTTCACCATGTGACCAAAATGTAGGCATCGTCACTTCCAACACACGTTGAGCGAACGGGTGAAAAAGATAAATGCTTACAGCTATACTACACAAAAAATTTGGGAAGATAAAATCTTATTAGTTGGTCACTCTCCCTTCAGTCGTACAGGAATTGATGCTTCTTTTAGTACTTTTATAGGGTTGTAAAAGCATTGACCGTGCGCACATTTTTAGAATGAAGCGCTCCACGCTTCATACAAAATGTACTTCAGTCAACGCTTTTACACCCCAATAAATTTACAAAAAGAAGCTTTCAATTCATAATATTCAAACTAAGACTTTATTCATGAACAATTTATTTTACTTTCTTTCTCATGTTGAAAATCTATTTATATTGTTTCATTGTCTATTTATACTTTTATACATTCCACTTTCACTTTCATGGTTAAACTATGACCTTGCATTTAGACAACCTGATTCGCATTTATTTGTATTATATGTATTCTGATGACGGTGTCCTAGGCACCGAAACATGTCGATGAATAAAATTACCACAGCAATCTCTCGAGTGTTGTTGTTATAAGACTTTCTACATTAAAAAATAAATGTATAATCAAAGCACAATAAACAGCAGGCATCAAAGTTTAGTTCTTGGGGAGCAAGGAATGCCATTATTTGCATAAATTACAGGTACTATTTTCAGAAAAACACAAAAAGGATATTTTTGAACTGGCCAAAAGATTATAGATTTCTATTTATAGTTTAAAACTGACAAAGGCTTATTATTTTCTGACCTTATTTCCTGACTAGAACCCAGATATTAAAAAAACTCCCTAACCCTTTGAATTGAATTTTTGATCTATATACCCAGGGCTTTATATATATACGATACATGTATTTTGACAATGAAGATTCAAATGTCAAAGGTTAGCTTTTATTAAATATATATGTGTCATGCTATCATACATGTACACTGATGTATTGTAACATGAAGATACAAACACAAAAATGTTTCCATTTTGTATTTGTTTCTATTTTTTGACTTCATGAAATTCTAATTCCTTTAGTAAGAAAGTTCATGAAAGTGACAAATGTATTTTTATTTGCCTAATGATGTGTATGATTTTATTTTACCATAATGTGTGAAAATATTGATTTATTCATTTTAAGGAAGTTTTTCTTTTCTTTTTTTTCAGAATTATTATTAAAAACATTTAATATTGTATTTTAATAAAAACTGTGTACATTATACATACAAAAAGTGTACCATCTGTAGAAACATCTGTTTTGCTGTGTATAGTAATGAGAAAACGATTATTGAATGAAGATGATGACAGTGATTATGATAATAAACCAGTAAAGAAAACAGCAATGAAAGTTATACAACTAAATCCAAAAACTAAAACTGTGTTTGCAATTGTTCTTGTTATTGCTACAATCATTTATTTTATGAACTTTCCAATATTTATTTCTAATGAAGTAGAAGAATTTGACATTCCCAAAGACAATGTTATTAAAAGTGGAGAAACTTATGTTAGTCCTGGAAGTTTAAAGTTTAAAAAACGTCAGTTTTATCTTGATGGGCAACCATTGCGTATTTTGAGTGGTGCAGTACATTATTTTCGTATACCAGAGGATTATTGGGATGATATTTTAAAGAAAGCTAAAGCAGCTGGTCTGAATACAATTGATACGTAAGTTCACTTTATATTTTCATTCTACTAAAGCAGCTGGTCTGAATACAGTTGGTACGTAAGTTAATCTTATAATTTCATTCTACTAAAGGAGCTGGTCTGAATACAAATGGTTCGTAAGTTAATCTTGTACTTTCATTCTACTAAAGCAGCTGGTCTGAATACAATTGGTACGTAAGTTAATCTTATAATTTCATTCTACTAAAGGAGCTGGTCTGAATACAAATGGTTCGTAAGTTAATCTTGTACTTTCATTCTACTAAAGCAGCTGGTCTGAATACAATTGATACGTAAGTTAATCTTATAATTTCATTCTACTAAAGCAGCTGGTCTGAATACAAATGGTTCGTAAGTTAATCTTGTACTTTCATTCTACTAAAGCAGCTGGTCTGAATACAATTGATACGTAAGTTAATCTTATAATTTCATTCTACTAAAGCAGCTGGTCTGAATACAATTGATACGTAAGTTAATCTTATAATTTCATTCTACTAAAGGAGCTGGTCTTAATACAATTGGTACGTAAGTTAATCTTATAATTTCATTCTACTAAAGCAGCTGGTCTGAATACAATTGGTATGTAAGTTAATCTTATAATTTCATTCTACTAAAGCAGCTGGTCTGAATACAATTGATAGGTAAGTTCACTTTATACTTTCATTCTACTAAAGCAGCTGGTCTGAATACAATTGATAGGTAAGTTCACTTTATACTTTCATTCTACTAAAGCAGCTGGTCTGAATACAATTGATAGGTAAGTTCACTTTATACTTTCATTCTACTAAAGCAGCTGGTCTGAATACAATTGATAGGTAAGTTCACTTTATACTTTCATTCTACTAAAGCAGCTGGTCTGAATACAATTGATAGGTAAGTTCACTTTATACTTTCATTCTACTAAAGCAGCTGGTCTGAATACAATTGATAGGTAAGTTCACTTTATACTTTCATTCTACTAAAGCAGCTGGTCTGAATACAATTGATAAGTAAGTTCACTTTATACTTTCATTCTACTAAAGCAGCTGGTCTGAATACAATTGATAGGTAAGTTCACTTTATACTTTCATTCTACTAAAGCAGCTGGTCTGAATACAACTGGTACATAAGTTCACTTTATATTTTCATTCTACTAAAGTAGCTGGTCTGAATACAGTTGGTACGTAAGTTCACTTTATACTTTCATTCTACTAAAGTAGCTGGTCTGAATACAATTAATAAGTAAGTTAACTTTATACTTTCATTCTACTGAAGCAGCTGGTCTGAATACAACTGGTACATAAGTTCCCTTTATAATTTCATTCTACTAAAGTAGCTGGTCTGAATACAATTAATAAGTAAGTTAACTTTATACTTTCATTCTACTGAAGCAGCTGGTCTGAATACAACTGGTACATAAGTTCCCTTTATTATTACATTCTACTAGAGCAGCAAGTCTGAATACAATTGGTACGTAAGTTCACTTAAGGTAGATGGGGTGTCTAAATTATAATCCATAGAATTTTTTAATAATTTGCCAAAATGTAGTTTATATCATGCTTTTAAAAATAAATAAATAAAAAGAATGGGTCACGGGGCTTATTTTCACGCTACAGGTTGTGCAAAATTGACAGATTTTGTATAGATTATGCATGGGAAACCCAATTTTCTGCCATAAAACAAAAACTACACCTTAGAATTTTGAGATAAAATATGAGAAGATAGCTTTCAGGTAAGAAAAAGAAAAAATGGGGTCACGGGACCCGTTTTCTTGCTACACAATAAAATAAGTAAATTCCTAACACATTCTATTGTAAAAGTAACTTTATCTGAATTATCTGCCCTTACATTTGAGTTGCCTCCCTTTATGTGGCAAAGTTGGGAAAAAAATGAATCAAACAAAAGTAATCCGTTTTTTGTAAAATACAACCATAAATATAATAAAACATGTCATTTTCTATATTGAAATGAAAATATTCTTACACATGAATTACCTATTACTCTCAAAATTTGCACATTTTATTAAAGACATAGACCGATTGTTTTCTGGTATTTCAAAATCCAAGATGGAGGAAGACACCCTATCTACCTTAATACTTTTTTTTTACTAAGGCAGCTGGTTTGAATACAATTGGCACGTAAATTAACTTTATAATTTGATTTTACTAAAGCAGCTGGTCTGAATGCAATTGGTATTTATACTTGTCTATAATAGACTCTGGGTCTATAACTGATGCTGTATATGATAATGGTTTAAAGTTCAATTGTCGTTTTTAAATTATGTGCTGTTTAAATTAATATTGTGTTTTGCAAAATTCATTTCTTCTTTTATGTAAAAGTTAAGTTAAAAATGTATGTTTATGTGAGGTTAAGGCACAGTAAATTCAGCTGTTTTCCTTAATTCATAGTGGGTTATAAGAGACAAAATTCTGCAATTCAACTACATGTACCTTGTTTATTTTCCACATTTAGTTATCAGACCTTATAAATTATTGCTTATCCCAACGGTTTTTGTGGCCATCCATTGAAGTTTCTCGATACTGGATTTTACTCACCATGGCTTGCCCATTATATATAGTTTAACAATTGGAATCTTAATAACAATAAAATTTATTTACAGGCATTTTGTTTTCATCAGAATTTATAGATAAAACATCATCATTATCACACACAAGCTGTGCACTTTTTATCTTCATTGCGAAAAAATTATTATGGCTACTTAAATAATGATTAATGCAAGCATTGTGGATCTTTACAATCAATTATGTTTTGATTACTGGTACATGTGTGTATCTTCAAACATAATCAAGTTTGGTTTGGGTTATTTCATTGCAAATATTTTTTGTCATTTTATTATCATAAGGAACATAAGTTTATAGGTGCTCAATTGTCTTTTCAGCATTCTATTTGTATTGTCTGTTAAATCCATGCAAAAAAATTGGAATTTACAGTAACTTGTGTACAGCTGTAAATCTTAGTAACTAATGATTGTACATGTATATCTTTGAAATATTCAAACCATGTACATGATGTATTGTAGATTGAAAATAAAGTTTGCATTCTTACTTACAACTCCTCTGAAACCACACCACAGAATTTCATGAAACTTTGTAGATAAAAAGGACATACTATGTAAATGTACATATTGACAGGAAATTATGATTCAATATTTTTTCTTGGAGTTATGCCCCTTTAAACTTAGAATTTTGGACTAGATATACTACTGCAACAGTTTGTCATAACAACTCCTCTGAAACTTTTCAACAGAATTTCATGACACTTTGTATATAATTAAATAATAAGGTCATACTATGAAGATGTGCATATTGACAGGAAATATTGATTCAATGTTTTTTCTAAGAGTTATGCCCCTTGAATAAAGGATTTTGGCCATTAAATGTACTACTGAAACAGTTAATGTCAGTTCAACTCCTCTGAAACCACACAACAGAACTTGATGAAACTTTGTAAATAATAAGGACATACTATGTAGATGTGCATATCGACAGGAAATTATGATTCATTGTTTTTTCTAGGAGTTATGCCCCTTTGAACTTAGAATATGGCAATGATATACTACTGCAACAGTTTGTCAGCACAACTCCTCTGAAACCACACAACAGAATTTAAAGAAACTTTGTAGATAAAAGGACATATTATGTAGATGTGCATATTGACAGGAAATTATGATTCATTGTTTTATATCGGAGCTATGCCCCTTTGAACTTAGAATTTTGGCCATGATATACATTGTACAACTGCAAGAGTTTGTCAGCCCAACTCCTCTGAAACCACAGAATAGAATCTCATGAAACTTTGTAGTTAATGAGGACATGAAATGTAGAATTTTGATCAGCTGACCTTTGTAAGAATTATGTGTCTTTGAACTTAGGAATCTGGAGAGATTTTATTTGCCCAGTGACAGTGCTGAGGCAAGAGGTATATGAGCGTGCTCACAAAGGTTCTTTCATGATTTACATACTTTTAGTATAGCTATCAACATGAAACATTTTAAATTCCTACATGACAGTATATAATAACTTGTGCATTGTTATTATATTATAGATATGTACCTTGGAATTTACATGAAGACAGACCTGGAAATTATTACTTTGCTCAACATCTTGACATTGAGTAAGTTTTTTTAGCAAATCTATTCAACAAGTTATTGTTGCTTTACTTTTTAAATCTAAGACTACTACTATGTATTGTAGAGCCCTTCTTAACCAAGCTAGAAAATAATATATTGAAGATCATTCACAAACATTTTTTTTGGAGTTCTCAGACATAAATTGTGGTCAGTTTTAACAATTTATTTAATTAAGGTTGCATCAAGTGAACAAACACCTTCTAACGGTACAGGCTGGTAGAGAGTAATCAGGAAGGATACCCGGAGGTATGCTGCGGTTGTCTTAAAACCTCAGGAAAATAATGCTACACAAAGACAACAACATCGTAGATTACTGCAAGGAAAATCTTTATTATGGTCTATGTTTCGCCACTTACGGTGGCGTCTTTAGGACAATTTAAACATAGAAAACAAATACTGAAGTACATAAAATGCGGTGCATATGATGTTACAAAGGTTAACAAGACGTAACGTCACAATAATTGATTGACGATGTTAAAATGAAAGTGAAAGTAAAAGTTAAAAATGAATTATTTATTTAATTGTGTAACTTTTTTGAAATATATTCTAGCAAATGTAGTGTTTTATCTGAATTGTTGTTAAGATTGCATATTACATTGTATGACCTTCAACAATGAGCAAAACCCATAACTTTTATTAAGCTATGAACATGACGAAAGGCCTTGACGTGACAAAATATAAAACAATTCAAACAAAACAAATAAACAGCCTGATTTATGTACAAACCAATACACAAAAAACAAATAGGAGAGACAGTGACCAATGAACAATATGAACCACTGATTTACAGTCTCTTGATTAGGGCAGGCACATACAAAATGAAAAGGGGAGGGGGGGTTAACATGTTTACGAGCACTGAATCTTCCCCCTAACCTGGGACAATGGTGTTATAGCACAATATGTGCAAATTGTAAAAATTAGTTAAAAAAGTCTTGACTCACCAGATTGACACACTAACTTCACTATTGTTTCAAACTAATGTATTTTTTTTAAACACATTCTTTCTTTCAGAAAATTTTTGCGGAAGGTAAATGACTTAGGATTATATGTGATATTTCGCCCTGGACCATACATATGCTCAGAATGGGAATTCGGAGGCTTACCAGGGTTTGTAATTAAAAAGAAACCAAGATCTCACAATATTGAATATATAAATCAAAATAAGATGTTTAGTTTTAAATGTTTCAAGTTTATGTTAAGTATTTCAGTTGTTACCCTAAATCTTGTTCATTATACTAAGTTATCTTATACAATAGAATACTTTGGGAGAAATATACTGTAGATTCAGTATTGTTTGTTGGATACCAAGGTTTGTGGATTACATTTGGTAGAGGCAAACCATCAATTTAGACATGTTAGATGGTCAATGATGTATGAATTTCTCATAGGCTTGTATAGAAACATAAGCAAATCCACAAAATCAAGTTTTCATGAAAAAATGATTTTTCTTTACTACACGAAAAAAAAAGTATCCACAGTAACTGCATTAATTAGTTAATACTGTAACAGTAATTATCACCATTTTGTGCATTTTCCTTTGATATTTTTTGGTGATAATTTTTCATATCATGCTACTTGCTTGAGATTGAAAATTATTGTCAGAAACTAAGGGTGCATGTGACGTCAATATAAACATGAACGACATCATAAACAAAATAGCAATAAACAGATGATCAATGGTCTTTCAAACTCGAGGATGTTTCTCAGCCACATCTCATCTCAGGGCTGTCGCCCTTCAATGAGATTGTAGTTGAGAAACACCCTCTTGTTTGAAAAACCATCAATAATCTATAAATCTTTCATGACTTCACACCAAAGAATCTGGACTTATATTACAGTTTTCAACAAGTTACTGTAAGGCTTTCAATACAAATCTAAATATTTAAAATAACTTTGTCAAGGATTTCTTGTGTGTGAGTAAAGGACTGACCACTATATATGTAGCATTTATTGTCTTCCAATAATTATGTTGAACTTACTGTAAACAAACAGACAAAACATCATAGAGACTGATACTGTTCAAGTATGGTAAATATCCAAAATAAAGTAAAATTGCTTTTTGTCTATGAACACATCAAATAATTTGGCAGGACTTCCTTTTGGGCCCCTTTTTATGTTATGCCTTGACTTGTTCTGTAAAAATACGAGGGTTCAAACTCAAAAAGAAGTCTTACCAGATTTATGAATAAATGTTTAGTAATAATACAAAATAGTGTGATCAAGTGGCTATGAACAATAGTTGTGAGTGGGGGTGGGTAAGGAAAACATGTGCATCAAGAAAAGTGTTTGATTTTTTTTTCTGTGTGTAAAAAGATATAAATATAACAATATTGCAATGTTACCACTATGCTTTATGGTGTTTTTTTACTTCAATTTCAAGGGCAATATTTCTATCATCTTTTTTGAATATTTGACTCTTTTCCCATAATAGTTTTTTCTATCAATATTCAGAAATATAGACTTAAAGTGGGGAATTTGCATCTTGCATGCCTTCCTCTACATACCCTTTCTACTCTTTTACCCAAACCCTGCAATTCACTGAAAATTTTCTGTCTCGAATGTGCCTACTATATATAGAATAATGGCATTTTCATTTTTGATACTAAATTTATCAGCAAGAATATCAAGCGAGCCTGCTAGGCTCTATTTATTTATTTGGACAAAATAAAATGCCATTATTCTTTTTATCAGCAATTTGTCTTAACTGTATTTTTCTGGGTTGAAAATATGAAATCAAATGAAATAGTTAGTAAAACTATTTTTTCACGTACAAAACTTTGTGATAGTTGTTTGGTTGTATGAATGAAGTCGTGTGCATTTCATTGATAAATTGACGTGGATGGACATGAATATGTGACGTTGCTGCACTAACACACGACGCCATTGCCTAATATTTTAAAGTATCAAGTCCTGTCCATGATCTTGAAAATATTAGGCAGTAAGATCAAAGGGAAAATGTACAAGTTGCTGATAATATGTGATATATGATACATGTTTAGACTGTTTACAATTAATCATAAGGATATTCCAATATTTTAGATGGTTATTGAAGGATCCAGAAATGGTGATAAGATCTAACTATAAACCATACCAAGATGCAGTGGACAGATGGTTTGGTGCACTTATTCCAAAAATTAAAGATTTTCAGGTAAATAGCCAAATAACATGGACTTGTAATTGACCTTTCAGGCCTAATACTTCTTATTGTAATAACATTTTGTTTGTTTGGTAAGTAAAATTTTGTCATAATTAAGTAATGAGATATGTTTGGTACAGGGATTATTTCCTTGAAAGTCAAAAATAGCAAATAATATGAATAAAAGGAGATATGGGGTACATGCCAATGAAACCACATTCAAATATGTTTGTTTGCTGTTATAAACAGTGTTATACTTTAGAATATCAAATAGCATCGTCACATTAGATGTTCTAAATAATGTTAAAAGTAATTGAAATAGTTTTATATGAATAAAAGAAGTGTCTGGAATACATTAGTGAGACATCAATCAATTGAGACAAAAACTGAAAGACATCTAGAGGTTGACATATTTTGGTCTTCAATGATAAATAAGTTTCTAGACAATTTGTCAAATATAATTTCATGAATTTCTTTTTACAATAACTGAGACACACAGCTATATTTAATGTTACTGGTACACACAGTTATGTTTAACGTTAGTGTGACACACAGTAATTTTTTAGGCAACTGAGACACATTAATTTTTAATGTAACTTGAACACATTAATCAATTAATTTTTTCCAGAGATCTAAAGGTGGACCAATCATTGCAGTTCAAGTTGAGAATGAGTTTGGTCACTATAGTGATGAAACAGATCATCTTTTGTTTATCAAAAAAGTAAGTTTTTTATGCCCCCGCAGCTAGGGGAAGAGGGCATTAAGGGTTTACCCTTGTCCTTCTGTTCGTACCGAAATTTATTTTACGTTATATAACTTAAGTTTGCCTCAACAAAATATTATGATACTTATACACAATGCTTGATACCAAAAAACACAGATCTAGATCAAATTTGGGGGGCTTTTACTTTCACCGTTCTAGAGTTATGTCCCTTTATAAATGGAAAATTTGCTGAATTTGCCGTATATTTCTAAACAGGGGCATTTTTGTCCCATGGATACATTCTTCTTTTATTTTACCATAGCTTTTTATGGTCCAACACTAAGTTGCAGGGGCATAGAGCTAACCATGACCATGATTCCATTATTTCTCCTCCTGCCATTTAGAAATTCAAAGGTTGTTTGGACATACCTGTAGATTTTAAGCAAAGACTGCATACTCATGTAACATGGATCAAGTTCCTTCTGTCATTTAGAAATGCAACAGTTATTTAGACTTGTGTTGCCATACCTATAGATATTAAGTTTAGGGTACTGTAGACTGTATAATAAAATGTTAACGATCCTGTTCAAAGTTTGTACTGTTTGATGCATCATGTTTATTAAACTAGAACTTAAATATATCTGTTGTCAGAATTAAAGATGGTTTTAATATGATTAAGGTAGAAACAAATACATTTGTAGCAGTGCAAAATTTTTCATGCATTTGCCTAGCTAAACCTGTTGGTTTCAAATACCAGAGCAAATTAAAACATGTTACGGGTAATATCCTTACAGTTCACTTCCTAACAAATTTCTAAATGCAATGAGCAATTTTCAAGAAAACATTTATTTTTATGCCCCCTCTGCTTGGCGAATGGGGCATTAATTGTTACCCTTGACCATCTGTCTTTTCGTCTATCCGTCCCCTTTTAATTTCCGCACACTAACAAGTTTTCCTCATTCAAATTTTTATAAAACTTATACACAATGCTAAGAATCAAAACTTGCAGACAAAGTTTGAATTTGGGCAGTTAGTCACTTACCGTTCTAGAGTTTTGCCTCTTTATAACTTTGCAAATATTTTCGTTTTCGCACCCTTACTTAAGTTTGCCTCATGCAAATGTTATGAAACTCATACACAATGCTAAGGACTGAAACTGGCAGACAGAGTTTGAATTTTGGCAGTGAGTTGTCACTTACTGTTCTAGAGTTATGCCTCTTTATGACTTGGAAAATTGCAAAAATTTTCGTTTCCGCACACTAACTTAGTTTAACCTCATTTAAAGTTTATGAAATTCATACACACTAATAAACACAATTCTCAGAACAAAAAATGTGATCTTCACTTAACTACTATTAAGGTCATAAATGCTTAGTTTTTCAAATAAAGAAGTAAAGCTGACAAAGAGATTAAAAGTAAAAGAACCAAAGCATTATTCGAGAAATTCACTGGACACAACAGAACTTATCAGAAAACTTATTACATAAAAGCTAAAAACAAAACAGTGTAAATGTTAACCAATACAAAAATACCTTAGACTAGAACAAAAGAACTCTTTAAAAACTAGCAGTGACATCAAATGCTCTTAAAAAGTATTTTCACGTATTACAAGCAAGCTTGAGCGGGGGCATTTGTGTCCTCAGTCACATTGGTCTTTTATTTTTGGAAGTCATAAAATGGAATTGATGGATTTGGTGAGCACGTTTATGTTTTTCTTGTAATTGGTAGACCTGTTCAATTATAACTTCGCACAAAATATATCTAGCATACCTGCAGATACAACAAGGTTTTTTTTAAACCACCTTGACTACTCAAAGGGGGCCTTGAATGGTTGGCTATTACAGATACATTTACCATTTAAGTATAGTGTTCCTAACTTACTTTTACAGGTTCTACAAAAATATGGTATACAAGAGATGTTACTAACCTCAGACAATGGAAGACGTCAATCTTTATTTTACAACCGTAGGTTTTTTTTAAATACATGTACATGTCTTTAGAACATGTGTAATTATCCATAAAGGAGTAGGGGCATTAAGGTCAGGTTTTAACCCATGAAAACAAAGCTTTTGAGAATTATTTCAAATTGCACATAATATTTGGAAATGCATTAATTCAAGAAAAATGAATGAATTATATCAGATTTTTGATGTTATGACATCACAATTACCTGTTAAATGCACTAATTTCATGAAAACAAAGAAAACTGCAACGTTTATGCAGTTTTCCTTCATTATTTCCTTTGAGGAAACAGCGTGCACAGGCAAGAAACAACAAAATAGTTGAAGAGATGCTTTATTATAACTTTTGACATATTCTAACCAAATATAAAGTTGTTTCTTGGGATGCTTTTCCAATCTTATATATATATAAAGGTTGACAAAACAAGGAAAATCATGAAATATGACAAAATATGAGTATTTTGTAAAATTTCATGATTTTCCTTGTTTTGTCAACCTTTATATATATATAAGATTGGAAAAGCATCCCAAGTTTGTTGCCATGGTAATTCGTTAAATGTGAAATTTGTTTTTATTTTCTGAACTACTTGAACCTCAGTGTAGTTTGGACAAAGTTAAGAATATGTATGGTAACTTTTCAATTTGCGCTTATATTTGGGACAAATAAGGGCCTTATTGCCCCAACTTCTTTGTTATTGTCTACATGGTAAACTCAAATTATAACTACTGTAAATTCAGAAATTATTGCGTGCATTTATTATTGCGATTTTTCAAAAATGGACAAGAATGCGAGTTTAATTATTGTGATTTTAGAAAAATCTACATACAGATCTATGGTTTAGTTATCAAAATGCGAGTTCTTATTATTGCGATACTCAACGAGTCGCAATATTCGCATTAATAAAAACCTCGCAATAATTTCTGAATTTACAGTACCAAATTACCATTGTAATTCATTGGATATCTGAAAGTGAAAGTGGTGCTTTTGCAACCTATGAAATTTCATCTTTTTGTTTCCTCAATACCTCTATTTCCTTTTAATGTAGAGATCAAAACTTTTCAAATGTTTCGAAGCAACTGAAAGTTTCAGCCTTGTGATATAATTTTCTCTACTGAGCTTTTAACCACAACTATTTAGAGATTGTTTATAAATCAACATAAACATAAATTACCCATGAGGGTCTGCAATGTCAGATCTTAACCAATTGGAAGCTATTCAAAAGGAAGAATTTTAATAATTATCATGTTTCCTCCAATTGATTGGTTGTCTTATTCACATATACTCTACATCTTTTATTTTATATTTATACAATTATAGATGTTAAAGTCAAATTGATGTTCTTTCTGATTCAGTGTCCTTTTCTTAAATGGAAGTTATATTTGAGTCATTGTAGCTGTGCACTAATTGTATTGTCAATTTACAGCCCTATTTGATGTCATCATATTTCAGATCTAAGTTCAATTCAAACTCCAATGCTGCGGATTCATTTAATTTTTTTCAAGGGCACCACTTTTCATGGGTAAGGGAAAATTGTATTTTTGTGGATACTTGTTTTCATGGTTTTTAAAAGTTCTCTGTACATGCTTTTAGAAATTTTGATTTCCTTAAATGCTGTTATTCCAGATTAATCTTTGCTCAAGAACAATAAGGCATCCATGGAAGTCTGTTATATAATTTTAAAGTTAATTCTACTTCATGATAGTCATGGCAGCTGTTTACTATATTGATTCAGTCAAGTTGTCAATAAAACAAGATTTTTGTATAAGATTCTGATGTATTGCAATGCAAGCACAAACATCATGGTAGAGATAAAGTCTACACAAACAATTAGCAGAACCTCAAACTAACAGTTATCATTGTTATTTTATTTTGTATCAAAGCATTTAAAATTGTTCTAGCATATCATTAATTTCAAAGTTGCTGAATCTACTTTTCCTATGCACCCTAGATCATAAATGTTTTTAATATGATTTTTGCTGTGTATACTGGTATTGTGGACGTTTTGTTTAAAAGATTTAATTCTTTTGACATTTTCTTATGGAAGGTTTTAAAAAAAGACAAAATATCATAGGATCAGGGTTTTTTGCTCCATGATAATGTTTGACAGACTTGAATTATAGAAATTAATGTTGATTGACAAAACGTACGCTTGGGTTTAACATAGAAAAATTTGGAACTAATTTCCAAAATCGTCTTGTTTCAGATGCTTTGCCAACTGTGAATTTCCAGAATTTTCAAAATGGTAAAACAGATTTTGAACGTATTAAAGCTCAATCTAAAGATTTTCCATTAATGGTCATGGAGTTTTGGAGTGGATGGTTTGACCACTGGGGAGAGGACCATCATGGGAGAAAAGAAAGTTGTAAGTATAAAGATGAATGAGTGATAGTATGGTAGTCTTTATTTAATAATTAGATGTATCTCTACGAGTTCTAAATGCATTTAAAATTTCATAAAAATGTGAAATACATGTACCTACCAAATATCTATTCTTCAGCTGAAGAACTATTTATAAAATATACCTTATAAAAACAAAATCAGAAATTAAAATAGCAGTAAGGAGGTCAAAGCTTACATTGAAACCCTATATTGGGCTGTATTTTCCTAAAAAGTGAAAGATATATAATGAGCAATTGATAAGATGAGAATTTTAACTTAAGCCATAAAGAAGTCTGTATTTTTATTCGACCGCAAAATTTTTGTGGCTGTATAATGATATTGCGATGTTGTCATCAGTGTCTTTGTCTTTGTGTCATTGTCATTCAGAACCATTTGTTTTCCAGACAATAAACTGAGTGTAAGTTTATGGATCTCTATGAAATTTTACCACAAGGTTCCATACCAGAAAAGGAAGGTTGGGATGGATATTGCAGGTTATGGCCCTAACTGTTTAGGAATAAGGTGCAAAAACCATACTTTTATGATACTTTGTAAAAATTGCTTATTTCTTGACCAATGTCAGTAGGGTTTAATTCACAGTTATATGCTTGGGTTTCTTTCATAAGCTGAATCTTACCTTGTATTTAGATTTTGGATTTTGGCCCTTGTTATCAAGTTGGTCCACATTGAGATCCAAAGGGTCCAAAATTAAACTTTGATTTTTGGCTCAGTTTTCAAGTTGGTCCAAATCGGGGTCCAAAATTAAATTTTGTTTGATTTCATCAAAAAATGAATTTTTGGGGTTCTTTTGATATGCTGAATCTAACCATGTATTTAGATTTTGGATGCTGGACCTTAATAGGTAAATGTCCAATTTCAAATTTAAGTTCTTAGAACACATTTATTCTGTGTCAGAAACCTATACTGTGTCAAATATTTAATCACAATCCAAATTCAGAGCTGTATCAAGCTTGAATGTTGTGTCCATACTTGCCCCAATGTTCAGGGTTGGACATCTGTGGTCATATCAAGCTGCACCCTGCGGAGCATTCTATTTAAAGTTATATTTCATTACACAAAACTTATAAATTTGGAATGGCAAAAATGGGATTTAGGTCTGCAATTACTACATTTCTGAAGAGGGTCCATGAAGTACCGAACTTGTCAGGCTTTGAATCATCACCAGGCACTGTTAATTATGTGTTTTGGCATAACCTACTTTTAATTGAAATAACAATAGCCAATTGGGCTAGGCAGTAGCTTAATGCCTTGGTTTTAAGCTAAATGCCTAAACTCATGCATTGCCACCAATAAATACATGCACAGATTTCCTAATTCAGTACTTTATGGTTAATAATACTTGTATATGTTTTTTTCTTTCTCAGTTATTCTGTCAAATTTTGAGGAGATTTTGAAGACTGGTGCTTCTGTCAGTATCTACATGTTTCATGGTGGGACAAACTTTGGTTTCATGGCTGGAGCCAATAATGCTGATAGTCCAAATTTTGGAGCAGATGTTTCCAGTTATGGTAAGATTACTGTATAAGTTATAGAAAGAGTTATACAAAGTTTTCTATATGATCTTTGTGTATATTGCTATTTCTCTAATTCCTACCAATTAAGAATTTCCCGACAGGTTGATTATATTTTTTGTCTCGCCTTGACCCAGTCAAAAAGCTGATTCCAATGGCGGCGTTGAAGGTTTCAACAATGTATTAGTTTGTGATTAGGTCAGTTTATAGGGAACCACTGGTGGTAGGTCAATAATATTTGATATGCAGTTGTATTAGCATTGGCACATCTCATTTCCATGGAGATTACTTGTCCCCCCTTTCAGTAATGGTCAATTGACTTTGAAACTTTTGCTTACTTACATGTATTAGTTTGTGATTACTGATTAGGTCAGTCTAAGAAGAACCACTAGTGGTAGGTCAATGATATTTGGCATTAGATGCATTAGTTTTGGTACATCTCATTTCCATGAACATTACTCAACCTTGCCCCTTCATTCATGGTCTATTGACTTTGAAACTTTTGCTTACTTCATATGTATTAGTTTGTGATTAGGTCAGTTTAAGGGGAACCACTAGTGGTAGGTCAATGATATTTTGTATGTAGAAGCATTTGCATTGGCACATCTCATTTCCATGGAAATTATTTGGCTTCGCCTCCTCAGACATGGTCTGTTGACTTTGAATGTTTTGCATAGTTGACATGTTAAGTTTGTGAATAGATCAGTTTAAGAGGAACTGATAATGTTAAGTCAATTATATTTGGTATGGAGTTGTACTAGCATTTGCAAGTCTCTTTTCGATGGTTATTTTATGGCCCCACCCCCTCAGCATGGTTTATTGACTTTGAAACTTTTACATTGTTTACCAATTAAAGTTTGTGTTTAGGTTATTGTAAAGGGATCCACTTATGATAAGTCAATGGTATTTGGTATGCATATTATTATAAGCATTGACTATCTCATTTCCATTGGGTTATTTGGTCCTGCACCATAAATCATGGTTTATTGACTTTGAATGTTATGCATAGTTTACATGTTTAAGTATTGCCATTTGGATTCAATATTTGCATTATACTATCAAAATAACAAAAAGGCGAGACATATCTCTGTGTCAACAGTTTATATAATTAATGAACCGTTTGATCTGAGGTCTTCAGTGGTCATTATTCAATTGTGACGTCTAATTTTCTTGCTGTCCTCTGAACTACCATTTATGATGTCACCAAAAACGGCGACCATCCCTGATAACATCTCATATAAAAGAACATATCTTTTTGCAGATAATTGAAAAAGACAGATACAGTTTGTATAAATCATAAGAAACAGATTCCACAATGGAAATATGTGCAATACCTTATTTTTTTACTCTCAAAAATTAAATTTTAAATATTTAAAAAGCTCTACATGCCTTGCCTTTAAATATGAAAATTTAACTGTCTTGAGTGTAGAAATATTGTATCACACTCGATGCTGTGGTAGAATCTATATGTGTCTCCAGTTATGATACACCTAATTTATTAAATGTGTAATCAATGAATAAAATTTAAGTGTTTGTTTGTTTGATGAACCATTATTTCTTTCTTAGCTGTTGTGAAAATTGAAACAGTCTGGTCAAACAAGTAAAACAATCATACTTTTGTTGTTTGTTCCATGATTTGATCAGCGTTTAATGATGTCTATCTCTTTCAACAGGAAGTAGACAACGGTAATCTATTTCATGGTCCACCTAATAAGCAAACAAACTTTACCTCATTACTTTTTGTACACACGGAAACAGATATGCTGTAAATATTCTGCACAATATTTGTGATGTATATAGAGATAGATAATGGTACTGAAACTTAAATAGCTGAGAATTATAACAAATGATATTTTTTCAGATTATGGTGCCCCAATATCAGAGGCAGGGGACACAACCCCACTCTATCATGGAATGAGAGATTTAATAACTAAGTACTCATCAGGTAATGTTTACTCTATTTTAAGACATCCAGATTTTTTAAATGTGAGACAAATGAAAATAGGGTTTTTAACAGAAATTTAACTATGGATTTATTGGAAAGTATGTTTTCAAAGATTATGAAGCAAAATGATTGAATATTGCCATGATTTATAACCTGCTAGTCCATAATACAAAGATAAAAGTTTTGTGTTATTTACGCATGAAACATGCATTGTGTCAAATAGTTTTTCTGACACACAGTTTTTCTATATGGTAATTTGATATACAGATAGTGTTTCAGACAATACAAAATACAACCATTCAATTTATGAATATGATGGATTTGTTGGAACAGTAGCTGGTTCAGGAATTGATTGTATTTTTCTGTCATCATTGCTGAAGGGAATGCAACACCTTTTGTAACTTTCATATCAATTGAGTAACACAACAAATTTTAGGACATCAATTCTACAAATGATTGTCTGAAATTGGTATTGCAAGCTCAGACGTCTTTTAAAGGATTATAGAATGTATCATTTAAAGATGTATTCTTTCAAATGCATTACAATTGAAGTTACCATATTTTTTGTACACAGTTTTTATTTTCTTCTAGCTATTATCTCATCATATTCCATTACATATATATAGAAATTTTACTATTATTTTTATATTTTTCAGTAAAACCTGGACCTGTACCACCAAACAGGGAAAAGGCTGCTTATGGTAAGTTTTGAAGGAATTTGTACCCCCAAAATGCTTTAATGTTGCCTAAATCTTTAAGCTGCATGATAAAAAAAAGTTGATAATATGAAAAGTAAGATGTTGTTTATATGATTGCCAACATTAAAGACCAAATGCAAGGATTTAAACAGCTATAGGTCTCTGTTTTCAAACTTTTTTCATTTTCTTGAAACTTAGATACAAGTGACATCCTACATTTTAATCTTAAAGTAATGAATATTTATCTTGTTTTTAGCTCACCTGACATGAAAGGTCAAGTGAGCTTTTCTCATCACTTTGCGTCCGTCGTCCGTCGTCCGTAAACTTTTACAAAAATCTTCTCCTCTGAAACTACTGGGCCAAATTTAACCAAACTTGGCCACAATCATCATTGGGGTATCTAGTTTAAAAAATGTGTCCGGTGACCCGGCCAACCAACCAAGATGGCCGCCATGGCTAAAAATAGAACATAGGGGTAAAATGTAGAATTTGGCTTATATCTCTGAAACCAAAGCATTTAGAGCAAATCTGACATGGGGTAAAATTGTTTATTAGGTCAAGATCTATCTGCCCTGAAATTTTCAGATGAATCTGACAACCCGTTGTTGGGTTGCTGCCCCTGAATTGGTAATTTTAAGGAAATTTTGCCGTTTTTGGTTATTATCTTGAATATTATTATAGATAGAGATAAACTGTAAACAGCAATAATGTTCAGCAAAGTAAGATCTACAAATAAGTCAACTTGACCAAAATGGTCAGTTGACCTCTTAAGGAGTTATTGCCCTTTATAGTCAGTTTTTAACCATTTTTCGTAAATTTTTGTAATCCTTTACAAAAATCTTCTCCTCTGAAACTACTAAGACAAATTTAACCAAACTTGTCCCCAATCGTCATTAGGGTATCTAGTTTAAAAAATGTGTCCGATGACCCCGCCCGCGAACCAAGATGGCCGACATGGCTAAAAAATAATACATAGGGTAAAATGCAGTTTTTGGCTCATATCTCTGAAACCAAAGCATTTAGAGCAAATCTGATGAGGATAAAATTGTTCATTAGGTCAAGATCTATTTGCCCTGAAATTTTCAGACCAATCAGGCAACACGTTGTTGGGTTGCTGCCCCTGAATTGGTAATTTTAAGAAAATTTTGCCGTTTTTGGTTATTATCTTGAATATTATTATAGATAAAGATAAACTGTAAACAGCAATAATGTACAGCAAAGTTAGATCTACAAATAAGTCAACATGACCAAAATTGTCAATTGACCCCTTAAGGAGTTATTGCCCTTTATAGTCAATTTTTTACAATTTTCATAAATTTTGTAAATTTTTGTAAATTTTTACAATATATTTTCCACTGTAACTACCGGGCCAAGTTCATTATAGATAGAGATAATAGTAAGGAGAAAGAATGTTCAGTAAAGTAAGATCTACAAACACATCACCATCACCAAAACACAATTTTGTCATGAATCCATCTGTGTCCTTTGTTTAATATGCACTTAGACCAAGGTGAGCGACACAGGCTCTTTAGAGCCTCTAGTTTTTATAAAGCATTCTTTATTTCATAAAAAGTACAAACCTGTATTTTCTTATGTCTTAAAAAACTAACTTAATAATTGCAGGTCAGGTTAAAATGTTGAATTTTATGTCATGGTTTGATATGCTTGATGTCATGAAAACAGTAACACAGGTAAAATATTTGTTTTCTTTACATGATGTTTAAATCACTTGTAAAAATAAATACAATTGTCTTCTGATATCACTTGCTCCAACAGTAGACAAAAAAATGCATTAAACTTTTTTGATCATGCTGGAGGTGAAAATTCTACAAAATTATGAAAAAAATGCTCTTTTAACATTTTGCAATGTTTTATACAGGATATTAACACTTACAAGAAACCATTACCTATGGAATATTTAAAAATGATTGAAAGCAGAGAAGGTTATGGACAGAATTATGGATATATTGTATACAGACGTACTGTACCAAAGTTTACTAAGTTGGAGGTCAAAGGGACAATGAAAGATAGAATGGAGGTACATAACATTCTATTCACAAAAAAGTGTATAAATTTTATTGCTGAAAGGTAAACATCTAGTTTAAAAGAAACATTGTGTTAAGAATTAAACTTTTTTTTCAAATTAAATCACAATGATAACTGTTATATTACAAAATAAAGTTCCATGAATGATAATGCTCCAACCTTTAAATGGGTACAATGTCAGTTGACAGAATATGTATCTAAGTATGACATATTCTTTTTGTATATAAGTGGGTGGAACATTGAAATGAATAGACAACTTTCGAGTTCGATGCATTTCCGTCAAAAACTTTGGTTTTAGTGAACATCATTCGTGCGTTTAGGGGCGTCGTCACTTCCGTTCCCATGTTGAGCCAGTGGTTGGAAAACTATGATGTTATATTGCACGAATTCCTCGGCAAATTGAATTCTCATAATTGACTATCAGCACTGCTGTCATTAGGAAATTGTGATTAAGCACCTACAGAACAAACATTATTCCTAGTTTATCCTGCACAATGACGATCACTAAGACGCTTGATGAACATTAATAGTGCAGGGATACAGGCGACCCCCCTATCTGGTAAATGACGTCATAAAGGCGCGCATAATTTGCAAATTTTTTCCGGATAAGGACAAACTCGAAAGTGGTCCATTGAATGAATTATCCGACGGTCTGGCATAAATCAGGAAGACTGCTTTCTCTACTGAAAATGCTGACTGTATAACTGTTTATGAATGGTATTGTTATTTTCAGATTGTGATTGATGGAAGAAGAGATAGTAAAGTTCTGGACTGGAAATCAAATTATGATTACACTATTGATGTTTCATCTCATTCTATGAGAGAGGTAAATTGAATATGTATTTATAACTAAGTATAAGCAAGTCTAAATTGAAAACAACGTTCAAACCTATGATTGCATTGGATAAAAATCGCAATTTTTATACGTGTTCATGCAAAACAAATTTCTTGGTAGAGGGGTCTAAATACAGCACAAACAACATTTTCCAAAAGACCAAAAAAGTGAAAAAGTATATTTTAACAAAACGCATTTGACTAGCAGGTCGAACAACAGATGTTCTTAACCCCTGCTGACTGCCATTGGCGATTGCCAAATAAACGGATCACCAGATGTAACAAAATGGATCTTAACTATTAATTTAATACCAAACAGAAAACAATAAACTAAGTATAAGTACACATAAGACAAGAAAAAAGTTCCCTTCATCTATATTAACTTACTAACTAATGTACCAAGTTTTTACTCATTAGAATATCATAATGTTGACTCAGAGTAATAAAGGTCATAGTTTGACCAAAAGCTATCAATGTCAAAATGTTTTCACAAATGTTATAACAGAAAGCCTCCAGAGCAAGGCCTTTAGAACAAGTGACAATTTTGAAGAGCCAAATGATGCTTCCAGAATGGAACACTTCTATGTTGTGTCATCTGTACTATTATTTGTCTGTTTGTCTTTTTATTTTTGGCCATGGCGTTGTCAGTTTGTTTTTAGATCTATGAGTTTGACTGTCCCTCTGGTATCTTTCGTCCCTCTTTGACTGACAACAAAAGATTCTAGCCCATGACAAATTACTGATAGCATCTGGAAACTATCAATTTTACCATATGGAGACAATTAATCTTTATTACGGCTGAATTGTGATTGTGATAACAGTGAAAATCTTACTTGACCAATGCATTGTTAGGTAGCATCAATTCCTGGTACAATGTATATGGTGGGAAATATTTAGTTTGCCACAATCAGCACTCAAATTTGGATACATGAATTCTTCCATGTCTGATGCTACCTACATCAGGCAAAGATTGAACCAGAATCCCAGGCTAGTTTGGATGCTTATAATCAGTTATAATCTTTACTGCACATTTGCTAAAACAATATGTTGTGTAATATATAAGATGATCCAAGAAGTCTGAAGTCTCTTTTGTATCCTTCTTTACAATTTTCCATGAATGAAAAGAAACTTACAAACCTAATGTTATATTTTACTCAATAGGGTAACCATACTCTGGATATCATTGTGGAAAATTTAGGACGTGCTAATTATGCTAACAAAGGATCTAAAGTGTTGAACAAAGAAAGAAAAGGTAAATATCTTTTTATTTCAGAAATTTTCATTTACATAACTCAATATGACAAAATGAAAAAGTTTTGACAATTTTTGTCTCCCCTTGACAGAGTCAAAAAGCGAGACATAGGTATGCTGTTTCCGGTGTCGGCGGCGGCGTCATCAACAATGTATTAGTTTGTGATTAGGTCTAGTTTATGGTGAACCACAAGTGGTAGGTCAATCATATTTGGTTTGTAGTTGTATTAGCATTGGCACATCTCATTTCCATGAAGATTATTTGGCCCTGCCCCCTCAGTCATTGTCTATTGACTTTGAAACTTTTGCTTATTTTATATGTATTAGTTTGTGATTAGGTCAGTTTATGGGGAACCATTAGTGGTAGGTCAATGATATTTGGTATACAGTTGTATTAGCATTGGCACATCTCATTTCCATGGAGATTATTTGTCCCTGCCCCTCAGTCATGGTCTATTGACTTCGAAACTTTTGCTTATTTTACATGTATTAGTTTGTGATTAGGTCAGTTTATGGGGGACCACTAGTGGTAGGTCAATGATAGTTGGTATGCAGTTGTATAAGCATTGGCATATCTCATTTCCATGGAGATTATTTGGCTCCGCCCCCTTAGTCATGGTCTATTGACTTTGAAAATTTGCTAAGTTAACATGTATTAGTTTGTGATTAGGTCAGTTCAAGGGGAACCATTTAGGGTAGGCAAATGTTAATAAGTTGTATAAGCATAAGCACATCTCATTACCATGGAGAATAGTTGGCCTTGCCCCCTCAGTCATGGTCTATCGACTTAGAAACTTTTGCTTAGTTTACATGTATTAGTTTGTGATTAGATCAGTTTAAGATGAACTGCTAATGTTAAGTCAATGATATTTGGAATGCAAATTTATTGGCATTTGCAAGTATTATTTCCATGGAGATTATATAGCCCCACCCCCTCTTCATGGTTCATTGACTTTGAAACTTTTACATAGTTTACAAGTTAATGTTTGTGTTTAGGTTTGTTTAAAGGGAACGACTTATAATAAGTCAATGGTATTTGGTATGCAGTTGTTGAAACTTTTACATAGTTTACAAGTTAATGTTTGTGTTTAGGTTTGTTTAAAGGGAACGACTTATAATAAGTCAGTGGTATTTGGTATGCAGTTGTATTAGCTTTGGCACATCTCATTTACATGGAGATTGTTTAGCCATGTACCTCAGTCATAGTTCATTGACTTTGAATATTTGCATAACTTATGAAACATGTTAAAGTATTGCTATTTTAATTTTAACATTTGCATAATCAAAATTACAAAAGGGTGAGACATATCTCTGTGATAACAGTTAATTTAAACATAATTTACTCTGAAAAAAAATTCAGGGTGTGTATTGTAATACAAATTAAACAGTAAAGTTTTTTATGCCCCACTTACGATGTTTTTCAGTCTTTGCGTCCGTTCGTCCGCCCGTCCATCGGTCTCTCCCGCTTCAGGTTAAAGTTTTTGGTCAAGGTAGTTTTTGATGAAGTTGAAGTCCAATCAACTTGAAACTTAGTACACATGTTCCCTATGATATGATCTTTCTAATTTTAATGCCAAATTAGAGTTTTGACCCCAATTTCACAGCCCACTGAACATAGAAAATGATAGTGCATGTGGGGCATTAGTGTACTATTGACACATTCTTGTTTTTAATGGTGTCTTTCAGACATTTTTCAGTCCCTTTTTCATCCCTTTAATTGTATTCATTTGAGTCATAAGAGACCCAATGGAGGGGATGTGTCATGCTTTGATGTGATTTCTTTTATTGACAATGGAACCTTCAAGGTGCTTAACCCTATTTGCTGTAAGAATCAGTCAATTCTAAAACTTTTGAAAAAAAAGTTCTAAAAATGTGACATTTTTGGAAATTTAGTTTCTAACTTTAATTTCAATTTTAATTTCAATTCTACAGGAATAACTGGAGAAATATTACTAGATGATAAACCAGTAGAGAATTGGACTGTCTATCCATTGACATTCAATAGGAATTTTATACACAAGTAAGTCCACTAGAGAATGACATTTGACAGGAATTTTATATGCAATTTAGCTGATGAACAATACAATGGTTGGTCTTGTTAGGTAAAGTTTATGCTTTAACTCAATGGTGTATAAACACTATCTGGCTTAGCCTTTTTTATGGAGGGAAATTTGGGACATCCCATTATTCAATATTCTTATGCCAAACAACTTTAAAATTAGTTTTATATGTTCCATTTCTTTATTTCTAATACTTTGACTTACAAGTGGGGATATCCATAGCATGACAATGCATGCGTTCTGGTTATTCATTGCTATGAAAGTGTCTATTGTCTTTTTTATGTCTTACAGAATATATACAAATGATAAATATTTTCCATTATCATCATTAACCAAACCACCATGCTTGTTCAGAACCAATTTAAAGATAGAGGGACCAGTACCTAAGGACACATTTCTTCAAATGGAGGTAAGACTCTTTATTCTGTTTCAATTTGCAATGAAATATAGATAAAGTTTTTTATCAGTTATATATTTTTTTTATTTTTGATAATGAAAAAAGTTTATTCAGACATTGTATTAAAATAAACAGAACTAAATTGTATCCTAAAGTACATGTAATAATTTTGTGTTTTCTACATTGTATTTGAATTCTTAATAATATTAAGTGTTTGTTGATTTACATATACATTTTCATTATTGCAGGGCTGGGGTAAAGGAATAGTATTCGTTAATGAACATCATTTAGGAAGATACTGGAGCATTGGCCCTCAGAAAACTTTGTTTGTACCAGCACCTTACTTAAAGGCAGGATATAATTTGGTAAAATATTTTGATTACAACACATAACTTAAACCACTATTGTAATATTTTGCATATTAAATGATGCCTACTTAGTGGAGAAGCAGCAGATACCAATGTTCAAGTCTTTGGTTTGTTTCATCCATGTTTGAAAGCACAATTTACTTGGGGCAGCATACTACCATGAGACCATATAGGTGGTTACAATCAGTGTTCTCCCCAGAATTTTTTTAAGGCGCAAAATTCAAGGGCGCGTAACTCTTTTTTTAGAGTGAACGTTTGTGATCTGGAGCAATAAGACATAAATCATGACATGCAATATGAATTATAATGCTTTGTGTTATGTGTTTAATAATGCAGAGTATTAATGAATTACTAGAATATATATATGAAATAAATTGATTTTAAACACAAAAGTTATTTATATTCAGTCAATTAAAGAAGTCAAAATATAAATATTCATCTCTACTCTCTGCTCCTTCTAGGGATATTGTTTCAAGATAGTGTTATTTTGTTGGACAGTCTGTTCCTCAACTTTGTCTTTATCCTCTTCAGGGTTAAAAATTAAACCCCCACTCACAATAACTTTTGCTTATACCCCCTTTAACATTTCTAAGCCATGAAAACTCAGTCAGCCACTTGTCATTGAACCAGAAACATGGTGCTTGCTTTTATCAATTGCTAAAACTTGAGCTTGGTTGGGATTAGGAGAAGCAATGAAATCTGCTTATACTGACAGTGTAGACGGAGGTGTAATCCCCTTTTCATTAGAAGTCATTGGTGTGAAAAAAACTTCTACTTCCATCATCTACCTTTTGCTTATAATTCACCCCTTTGTTATTTGCAGAGAACATGTTCATTCAGAATTAATAAAATCGAATATGGTTAAGATATTTGGTATACAACTTTTTAAAACAAATTTTTTTTATAAATGAACAGCTGACCAGTTTCCGTAGTTTCACATTACGCTTCCGTGCGTATTATTGTTTAATCCTATCTTTGGCAGATAGATATAAACGAAACTTTACAAATTCGTTAAAGTTAAAACCATTGAAATTATTTACCAGTGACATTATACAGTACCCGTGTTGATTGTCACATATTTCCCGACGCACGGATTCACGATCGATGTTCAATGATCATTTTATTTCTAAAAATATGACAGTTTCAGACGAATTTACCTTGCAAGCAACATTTTTTCACTTTCTATTACAGTAAATCACTCCTCGTTATCTTTAATCAAACTTTATTTTAATTTTTTCAACTACTAATACTTTCATTCATAGTTTTCATCGAAATATCTTTAGCAATGTGTATTCAAATTTATCATGTGTATTCAACACTTTCATTGGTCGTGTTTAAATAGATTCTTCTTCTCGACCAGTGAAAGAATTCGTTATATAAATGGTCAAGTAATCACACACACGATGCGTAAATACAATGTATTTGCGATCTATTTCTTCAATTTCTGCACTGAAGTTTTTAAAATTTTTACTTTTCTTCAAAAAATATCTATCTTCTTGATGATCATTTACGCTATTACCTGATAACATAGTCCGATAAGGCTGAGATAAGCGTGGCTCAGGTAAAACTAATTATCAGTTATTGCGTAACACTGACCGACCCATCAGTGGTGATCAGTAACTTGACAATTTTAACCAACATTAATAATGAAAATGTGAAATTAAGAGGCTGCGGGATAAAGTATTAAGGGACAGCGGCCAATTAAGACGCTGCGGGATCTACAAAAATATTATGAAGGCGCTGCGGCACCGCAGCGTCATATCGGCCTGGGGAGAACACTGTACAATGATTAATGATATAAAAAAATAGTGGTGCAAAAGAATATTTTTTGTCAATTACAGAGCAGATGCTTGACAGTGTAACTAAAAGAATATTTGGGAAGGGTATCTATTATATAAATTTTACATTGATTGAAACTATTTAAAATGAATAAAAGAAAATATGGGGTATAACACTATAAGATAGCAAGCAAACAATTTAAAAAAGTTGAAGAATAGACAGCACCATAGTGAAAACAATAAAAACAAAGGATGAAAAGACTGAGAACAGTTTTCAAAACATGTCACAGTTTAATCTTTATTTTGTACCACATAAGTTCCACTAAAAAACCAGGAGTGAAATTAAATACTTTTAAAAGATCATCAGTTCTTGGTCTAACAGACACACTCTGGTACCAGTTGAAAACTGAAATTTAAAAAGTTAAATTCTTTTGTTTAGTTTGGTGTCTAAAAATTAGACTAATGTAATGATGAGACAGTCTATGTCTATTTTTCTGAAGGGTAAGTTAAGTTCTTGGTAAAACTAAAGAACATGTGAAGATTTTCTAAAAAGATTTTCTGTAGGCCTAATAAATAACATATATAAAGTATCATATAGTATATTCTTAATAATTCAAATGTTGCTGTTTCCACAATGACAGCTTTTCTCTGAAAAGTAAAACTGCATAAAATAATATTTTTGTTAAACAGTTGGCACATCAAATTGCAAAAGATAAACATGATATTAAAACAATAATATTCTTGTTTCAAAAATTTCAATAGGGAACATATATTACATTATTGTAGTAATAAACCATTTTTTAAGACGTTTCGGCCGCTGGCCTTCTTCAGTTAAAAACAATAATAAACAATGATATTAAAACATTGCAAATGTAGATCTTCATTGCAAATTATCAAAATTGCATGACACCAAAATTCTCCAGTATACAGTATACAATTTTGAACACTGACATAGTTCCATTATAAGTACTGGCAAAGCCACCTCACATAGCATTCATATTCTGTTTTCTTTTATCACTTTTTTAAGAAATCATGACATGATTGTTTTTATTCTTATGTTTCACTGTAGGTAACTTTAGCATCTCTTCAGAAGTTCACATTTGACTGTTTACATGTTTATATATTTTCAGATCATTGTATTTGAAGAAGAAAAGATAGGAAAGTATATAAGTTTTATTGACCATCCATTGCTGTCCTAAAAGTACTGTCATATAGATAGATAGATCCAAGAGAATTGATTTAGAACCAGGGATGATTGAAGTTAACAAGATTCAAGGAGATCTTTTGTTTGTAATTTTCAAAGTACTATTTACTGTTGTGTTGTTTCTGCATATGTACCATTTTAGATATAGAATAGACACATTAAGCACATACAATCACTTTAAAGCACATATTTTGGAACATTATTTGTCTAAATGCTCAACAATTCTCCCTGGGTTTCATAACAATTATAAACATTGATAAATGTTTTCAAATTCTTAGATGCAACCTTGTCACTGTCAAATAGATAGTGTTGTAACAGCATCACTTATTTCTGTTTAGCAAATAACACTTTAATATTGGACAAAATTTGGAAGATTTATTGTCAAATATTATATTGTAGAAAGCTGGTTTTGAAAAAATACCTTACTGGCAAAAGCTTTTTCTATTGATATTTGATTCTGTCACCTTCTAATAAATTAATTTGGTATATTTTCCTGTTCTGTAAAGATTTTTATTAGTCCCCTACCGACGAAGTCGAAGGGGACTTTAGGTTTGCACTCCGTCTGTGTGGCTGTCTGTCCATCCGTCAGTCCAGCAAATCAGTTTTCCGCACTTTTTTTCGTCATGCTTGAAGATATTGATTTAATAATTGGTATATAGTTTAATCATGACAAGTTACAGACTAAGTTAAAATTTTGTTCCGGTCTGATGATTTTGTGCAGATTAATGGTCCTTGGACTTAGAAAATTCACTCAAATAATCAGTTTTCCGCACTTTTTTTCCCTCATGCTTGGAGATATTGATTTAATAATTGGTATATAGTTTTTATCATGACAAGTTACAGATCAAGTTCGAATTTTGTTCTGGTCTGATGATTTGTGCAGAGTTATGGTCCTTGGACTTAGAAAATTCACTCAAATAATCAGTTTTTCCTCACTTTTTTTCGTCACTTGAAGGTATTGATTTGATAATTGGTATATAGTTTTATCATGATAAGTTACAGATCAAGTTTGAATTTCCATTCCGATGATTTTGTGCAGAGCTATGGTCCTTGGACTTAGAAAATTCACTCAAATAATTAGTTTTCCGCACTTTTTTTCCGTCATGCTTGGAAATATTGATTTAATAATTGGTATATAGTTTTATCATGACAAGTTACAGATCAAGTTCGAATTTTGTTCCGGTCTGATGATTTTGTGCAGAGTTATGGTGCTTGGAAATATTGATTTAATAATTGGTATATAGTTTTATCATGACAAGTTATAGATCAAGTTAGAATATCGTTCCAGTACAGTGAATTTTTAACCGGTAGGGGAATATGTATTGCCATGCAATACTCTCAGAATGCTTGTTATTTTACCATTTTTATGATACTGTAAACCAACTTATTTTTAGTTCCCTTCCGACGAAGTCGAAGGGGACTTTAGGTTTGCACTCCTTCCTTCTGTCTGTCCGTCCGTCTGTCCATCCGTCAGTCCAGCAAATCAGCTTTCCACACTTTTTTTCTTCGTTCTTGAAGATATTGATTTGATATTTGGTATATAGTTTTATCATGACAAGTTATAGATCAAGTTCGAATTTTGTTCCAGGCTGATGATTTTGTCCAGAGTTATGGACCATGACTCTGGACCATATCTAATGTTAGAGTACTATGTTAAACCATATTTCTGTACAAAGGGAGATAACTCATTTTTTAAAAGACATTCTTTGTTAAATTATTTGAAGAATTTTTTGGCAGGTTTGTTTGTTATTTAGTATAAACTAATTTTCTGAATGCTATATATATATAAAAAAAAATTATGAAGAGAAATCCTTTAATTAGATAATAATCTATTTTTATTAATGTATATATTTCAATACATTACATTGTGTAGATAAAAGTTGTTGACATTTTATAAATAAGTTACAAATCTATATTAGTTTGTGACAAATGAAAGAAAAATATTTGGAACTATTAATTATATTTGATTATAATTTGAAAATAGATATACACTGTATTACATCATATCTAATTTTAGAGAACTATTAATCATATCTGATGTTTTTTTCATCATGCTTATAAGATATTGATTGATAATTGGTATATATATAGTTTTATCATGACAAGTTACAGATCAAGTTCAAATTTTTGTTTCGGTCTAATAATTTTGTGCAGAGTTATGGTCCTTTGACTTGAAAAATCCAAGCATATAATCAGTTTTCCACACTGTTTTTAGTCATGCTTGAAGATATTGACATAATATTTACTTTTTGTTTACACCATGACAAGTTATAGAACAAGTTAGCATTTTGTTCCAGTATAATGAATTTTTATCTGGTAGGGAACTATGTATTACCATGCAATACTCTCAGAATGCTTGTTTTTCTTGGAATCTTTTTATTTTCATTTATCCCTTTCTAGCCAACTTTTTGACAATCTATTTTCACAATTTTCTATAACCTGTGGTGATTTTTTGTCTCGCCTTGACGGAGTCAAAAAGCGAGACATAGGTATGCTGTTTCCGGCGTCAGCGGCGGCGGCCGTGTCAACAATGTATTAGTTTGTGATTAGGTCTAGTTCATGGTGAACCACTAGTGGTAGGTCAATGATATTTGGTATGCAGTTGTATAAGCATTGGCACATCTCATTACCATGGAGATTATTTGGCCCCGCCCCCTCAGTCAAGGTCTATTGACTTTGAAACTTTTCATAGTTTACATGTATTAGTTTGTGATTAGGTCAATTTATGGGGAACCACTAGTGGTAGGTAAATGATATTTGGTATGCAGTTGTATAAGCATTGGCATATTTCATTTCCATGGAGATTATTTGGCTCCGCCTCCTCAGTCAAGGTCTATTGACTTTGAAACTTTTCATAGTTTACATGTATTATTTTGTGATTAGGTCAGTTCAAGGGGAACCATTAGTGGTAGGCCAATGTTAATTAGTGTTCAGTTGTATAAGCATTAGCACATCTCATTTCCATGGAGAATATTTGGCCCCACCCCCTCAGTCATGGTCTATTAACTTTGAAACTTTTGCTTAGTTTACATGTATTAGTTTGTGATTAGATCAGTTTAAGATGAACCATTAGTGGTAGGCCAATGTTAATTAGTGTTCAGTTGTATAAGCATTAGCACATCTCATTTCCATGGAGATTATATAGCCCCACCCCTGATCATGGTTCATTGACTTTGAAACTTTTACATAGTTTACAAGTTAATGTTTGTGTTTAGGTTTGTTTAAAGGGAACGACTTATGATAAGTCAATGGTATTTGGTATGCAGTTGTATTAGCATTGGCACATCTCATTCCATGGAGATTGCTTAGCCATGTACCTTCAGTCATAACTTACATGTTAAAGTATTGCTATTTTAATTTCAACATTTGCATTATCAAAATTACAAAAAGGCGAGACATATCTCTGTGATAAAAGTTTTTTTATAGAAGGGAAGATTCACTTTCTGATTTTGTCTCGTTTATGTTTTTTGTTGCGGAAATCAAGTTAATTAAAATCTCACAAATTTTTTTTATTTAGTTACATTATATTAAAAAGCAAAGCATATTATCAAGAAATGGTACACACAATAACTTTTTTTGCAGGTTTTTTTTTCAATTTCAATGCATTTAATTTTTCACCAGAATTGAATTCATGCTTCAACAGCAAACTCATGCTGTATATCAATATTTTTGCCTTTTGAAAACAATTCTTTTGGGAATATAGCTGCACAATTGAATTGAATGCAAAACAAGTGAAAATTTCCACCTTTACAGCTCATACTGGTTAAAAACTGTATGAAAATATATGCTACTGATTAATACTGGTTTATAGGATACACATCATTTTACATGCTAAATATGTTGAAGTTTTGATTGGCTCCTTGTAGCAATTGGAAATTTTATATTTGATAGTTAGAAAAGGGTTGTAAATTATATATATTTTTTATGTCATAGATTCATATTAGCAAATATAATACATGCTTATTGGTTAGAAATTATAAATTTATACATGTTGGTAAGCATTTCAATGTATTTATTGTTAAACAAAAAATTTTGAAACCCATTGAAATGCATTAAATTTGTATTGGGAAGAGACTTTGCATTTTTGTTGATTAAGAATTGCTTATGATAACTGGATAGACATTTTAAATGGTTATTTTACATAGGTGAAACATTCATAATAATTGCTTACATTCACTTTATTTGAACTTTGGTGGGTAGTTGTCACATTGGCAATCATACCTCATCTCCTTATTTTTATATTACTATGAAGTTAATTTCACTAAATTATATGTAGATTATACTTACATATAACCTAGAAATTATATAGAATTTTTTATACTAGAATTTATACTTACCAAGACATGCAGCAAATTTAAAAAAGGTTTGAGAAACACAAATGTTTTAATTGACACAGAGTCTTTTTGTTCTCCTGAAAAGTCTAAGAAGTGAATCTTTTTAACTATGCATTATTTTGCCATATATATATATTTATGATTATTTTCATATTATCTTTCATAAATGGAAGAAGTGGATGCTATTATTTTTTACATTTATTGTTACTAATTGTTAAGATATACTGAACCTGTATACATGTATGTTGGTACTCATTTTTACTAATTTTCAAATGCCTGGAAATTTCTCTTTTTTTTGTATCATATGGTTGTTAGCTCAATGAGATATACCTCATATTTCCTCTAATTCATAACTATAATTGCAATTTTCCATTAGATGAAATCTGTCAGATTCTTTTCCATCAAAAGACCTCTTATCAATGTAATATTTAATTCAAAATGCTTGGAGGATTGTAAATATAATCATTTTAAAATGTTGCTTTAGTCACCTGCTAAGCAGGATTAGTGCTTCTTTATCATCATCATCATTATTGGTCTTATTCACTCTTTCAGAATCTTATGCATTCTGGGTAATTATCTCCAAAAACATACACCAAAATGTTTTAATTGGTCAACAATGACCTAAACAATGGAAATTTAACCAATGATGTTACATTATTTTCACTTTGGTGTACAAACAATAAAATAACACATAGTTCTTTATACTCTAAAACAGCAAAATATAATACATGTTAATTGTACATACATGTAGCTGTTAATTAAAGATCATAATATTCCAGTTGAATGTTTGTCTCCTGTTAATAAAATCCACAACACATTCTTTGTAACAGCTATGTTTTTATTGGTTTGCAATAAAACATTTTCACTTCATGTTGACGGGCTCAGCCCAGACTTCTGTACACCTTTTGTATAGTTGGAACATATATTGTTTTTATACATGGCTTTTCCAAGTATTTTTTTTTTATTAAAATAATGTATTTTTTACACAGCTTATGTGTGGTAACAATTTTGACATATCATTATAATTTTGTTAATTACATTATGCATTATACTTGTATTTGGTTGTGATGTACAAAGATAGCAAGGATTTAGATAAACATTCCATATACAGTTATATACATATACAATAAAATAAAATTCCCCAAACACCAATAAATAGAACATGGTTGCTGACTCCCCTCTCTGCTTATAATGTTAAACCTTTAGAACTCCATTTTCTGTAAAGAAAGTGTAATCTAAAAATTATCAAAGTGTTTTTACTAGAAACAAATGTTGATTGTCATAAAAAATTTCCTTTAGTGTGTCTGTATTTATGAACAACTAGTTAAGCAAAGTCTTTTTTTATTCTGCAAACATTTATTTGATTTGACGATGATATATAATATTATTGCAATCCTCTTTTGTAAAAATGCCCCATTTCAGTCACAACTACCTGCATTTCCTACTTGAATGGCTTGGGTAAATTTTTTGTCAAAGTTTATCTTAAAAATTGGTGAAAGCAGGCAAGTGAGCAATGCCATTATATGGAAATCTTAAGTAATAATAATATATGTTTTATGTTTACTTACATCACCAATATTTCTATTGCAGTTCTTTTCTAAAATCTCCTTTTAGAGTTACTCTGAATATTTAGTACCATTTGAACCAAAATACTTAGAGGGAGCTTTGAGGGATTTTATATTGTGCAATTCCTGATGAAACAGTTAAATGTTAGTTTTACCTTTTTTTGTTGAGCCTTCGACTTTTGTCCATTTTATCCATATTTTACTTATAAATGGACTTAGTTTTTCTGCCAGGAAACATTACATTCACTCTGTGGTTAAAGTTTTTGAAATTTTAATAACTTTCTCAAACTATCCTAGATTTCTTCCAAACTTGGAAAGAAGCTTGTTTATGATCATAAGATAATATTCAAAAGTAAATTTTGTAAAAAAAAAATCCATTTTTTCCGTATTTTATTTATAAATGGACTTAGTTTTTCTGCCAGTTAACATTACATTCACTCTGTGGTTAAAGTTTTTAAAATTTTAACAACTTTCTTAAACTATCTTGGATTTTTACCAAACTTGGACAGAAGCTTGTTTATGATCAAAAGCTAGTATCTAAAAGGAAATTTTGTTAAAATTTTGTTCCATTTTTTTCGTATTTTACTTATAAATGGACTTAGTTTTTCTTCCAGTTAACATTACATTCAGTCTGCAGTTTAAGTTTTTAAAACATTTATTAGATTCATAAACTATCCTGGATTTTTACCAAACTTGGACAGAAGCTACTTACAATCAAAAGATAGTATAGAGAGGAATATTTTTTATTAATTTTTTTCCTTATTTTTGTTGAGCCTGCGATTAACAGCAAAAGTAGGCGAGACACTGGGTTCTGCAGAACCCTTACAAATTTTTTTAATACAAATATTTTTAAACAAAAAGATGCAATGTATGCCCCAAAGGAGGATGGCCTTTGATTCAAAATAAACATGTGTTAACATGATCTCATGAAATCCAGATGTTGAACAATAAAATGGGCAGATCATCAAACAGCTTCAGCAATGTACAGTCACCCTCATCAATTGACAAGATCTAATTTGGTCAGAGTCCACACAAGTTGTGAATTCAGCAGAGATAAACAAATATCTGACACAAACATCTTCCCAATAAATAGTCATGTGGGTTACTTTCAAGTTGTTAAATTCACATTATACTGTTGCTTATCATTATTCAAGGAACTGATTCAGATGTATAATTTCAGCACTTCCTTTATTTTTTTATTAAAAATTCTTTTTAGATATATAGTTGTGTTCATTGTTATTTTTTACTTACCTTGCACATGTACCAGTATTGCTGTGTCATTATTCTCTGCCCATCTTTGTTCTCAGTCAATGTGTCATTCCTAAATGATATCAATTTGTAACATAAGTGAGGGTGTGGATGGGGTTTACAGAATAGAAAATAATGGCTCAAAGGTACATTAAGAATTAGGAATACAGAATTAAAGACCCCCCTCCAGACCCTCATAAGTTGAACCATTGTGTACTTGATTCAGTGAATTACCCTTTGCAGAATTTTGGTCCACATAAGCACATAATTTACTTTTCAACATACATGTATATAGTTATGTATATCATGCTACCTCCAGTTTTTGTACAAAATGTTTGACATACAGCAATATAATGTGGTCTGCTGATGCACTGTCTAGACCTGTATTTCAAAGTCCACTGCACTAACAATTTGAGAGTTTGTAAATGTAGTTTGTTTGCCTTCTAACTACTCTAGAAAATTTTAATCAGATTTTTGTAAAAGTACTTGTCAATATAAATATAAGAAGAATGCAGTATGATTGCAAATGAAACAACTATCCATTAAAGACCAAAGCACTAGTAATAAATTATACATAGCACTGGGATGAAAAATGGTGAACCAATTCAAAACAGGAACAATCATACTAAACCAATAGAAGAAAACAATTATGACAGACAGCCAAGGACAACCACTGAATTGCATAACCTTGGCTTGAGACACACATAGAATGTGTCTGGGTTACACATGTTTGTGAGCCTTCAACCTTGCCCATAAGCTGGGAAAACTGTAAAAATCAGTTGAGTAAGTCTTTGATTCGTCAGATCAAAACTTTTTGTCAGAGGAATACTGTGGAAATGATGCACTCCACATTTGTCATTTGTAGGAAATTAATAAAAATCTAATATAAGTCTTACAAAAACATTTGATATAAGTTAAGACCTTGGTAAATATTAAATTTTCAAACATTTTTTATTTACTATATGTTGGTCATCAGTATGAAATTAATGGAAAGATTAACCGGATAGCTACATCAAAATTAAGTTGAAAAAAGGTAATTCTAAAGACAGCAGGAATATTTGATTACAATACACAGTTAAGTTTGATTAAATGCAGGTAAGTTTGATTACAATGTAAGTAAGTTTGCTTACAATGCAGGTGAGTGATTATAATACAGAGGTAAATTTAATTACTATACAAAGGTAAATTTAATTTCTTTACACAGGTAAATTTGATTACATTCCAGCAATTTTGAATTTTTCAGGTAAAACTACATATCTGACATATAAATATACTGTATGGTCTATGAACTATATGACTCAAAAGCAAAGCGTTGTGATTTTGATATTTGTGCTTATCCATGGTATGTATCTTCTTAGTTCAGTCAAGGATGTTATGTAATCTCCTTGGTTCAGTGTATTGTGTTTTGCATAGGCGGATCCGGGGGGGAGGGCGAGGCCCCCCTTTTGTGGGAAAAATTTGGTTGATTTTATAGGGAATCACTGAAGCATGACTGGAGTGGGCTCCCCCTTTGGTCAGTCAGTGCCCCCCCTTCCTCCTTACAAAAAGTTCTGGATCCGCCACTGTTTTGTGTTTGTTATGTAATGCATAATTGAATTGTATTTAATCTGTCTCCTATGAGCACCGTTTTGGTAAATAAAACTATCTGTTTTTTAATAGGGTCAGCTGAACACTTACTTTTGTCAATCATAGCTATGAAATAATCGTCATGTATACGTGATATGTCCCTTACTCGTTATGAAAGACTGAAATTACCCTATCATGCCATGTCTTAGAATAAACTCATCATAGATACCAGGATTAAAATTTTGTACACCATTTTAGAATCTGAGAAGCATTTTACTTTTTGCAACAGTTTCATCATACAATAAGGCATACACAACTATCTTGATCCAGTCAAATGTGTATTCGCCCATCTGAGTTCAGAAATCTCGTCACTCACTCTATTTGTTGCTGTCTTACTTCCATTGTATGTTTGTGTCAGATATTTGGTCAATTTTGTTGAATTTGTTCACAAGTTATTTAGACTGGGAGCAAGTTATATTTTGATTTACGGTACGGGTTCTGTCCATCCTTTAAGGGAACCGCCTCGGTGATC